GGTTTCGAAAACGAGCCACCATGCATTCGTGAAATGGTTGGAAGGTTGAAGCTTCAAGATCGTAAGCGGCGAGGAGGTCTCAGGCGAAACGCCCAGCCCGCACTGACGACTCGTCTGCATGCACGACAGGCAGAGTTCTTCCCTACACGGCGACTGTTACAGCCGAGCCCACGTGCCGTGCCGTGCCGTGCTTGGCGCGCCGTGCCGTGCCCTGCTCGGTTTCAAGCTTGCGAGGAAAACGGCTGTGCCGGGTCGTGCCCGCGTGCAGTGCCGCGTTCGATTTCCATCGGAGGTTGCCAGGAAGGGTTCGTTGGGCAAGGTCGGTTTCGCTGGACCCGAGGTCCCTCCAGCCCGACCTTGGGCACTCCAGCACGACCTGGGGCGCCCCAGCAGCCGTCGAAATCACCACTCTTGAAGCAGACCTCCCCGCCGTCCTGGATTTCCTCCCTAGACCCTCTAAGCAAGGGCGAGATTATGGGCGCCGAGTGGGCCTGGCGTTTGCATGAGATGTGAGAAAGGTCGTCTTGGCTTTTTGCAGAAGGGTCACGATCTCTCAACCATACATTCGGCCGTAGGTCACCTAAAGAGTGTTGGCAGCATCACCGCGCTGTGCGGTCTGGGCTGGAGAGTTGTCGCTTTCCAAGGAGCGCGGCGAGAGCCCGAACATGAACGCATGTATCGCTCCGTGTACGTAGCGCGAAGCGCAAACTTAGAGGACCTGGTTTCTTCCTTCTCCTCAAAGGGTCCGAAAGGTCCAACCTGAGTGTTTTCAACATTCAGATTGGAGCACGTGGACCTGCAGAGGTGTCTTTAAGGTCTGCTCTGGAGGTTTTTATCTTCACGTCGTCTGTGGCTTATTCTGGTCGGGCCAACCGAACATCGCAGATCAAACATTGAGTATTTGTTGCAGGGTTGGACTCATTTTGGCGGCCTCTTGGAAGTCGTGGCGCTTTCCGAAAACATCTTGGGAGTCCCTGGGGATGTCGGGGTGGCCTCGAGTGGCATGTTGGGGCCACCTTGGGGCCATTTGGGGGCATCCTGGGCCATCTGTTGGGGCCACTTGCGAGTAGTTGGACAGTTTGGCGGGACATCTTTGGGCTGTCTTGGGGCCGTCTCAGGGCGTGTGGGGGATTTTAGTGGGGCTCCAGGACGCGTTCCCGAAGTCGTCTAAAACAGTATTTCCGGAGTCCTTTGCCTCGCTGGAGGCCTCCTTGGGCGCCTCTCTGAAGATTGCTGGGTTCTCCCGGAGTGCCTCAGGGGCGTACGAGGCTCTCTGAGGAGCAGTTTGCAGCCATCTTGACATGGTCTTGGGCCGTCTTGGGGCCAATTGGCCGCGCGGAAGTGTGGAGAAGCGCCGGCAGAGTAACGCCTCATGAAAGAAAGGCCTTGGAAGTTTTGAACCAGGTACTGGTCGATGCTAGACACATGGAGTAATTGATGTCAAACTGCCGACACCGCAGGTGGGAGCGGCTGGAACTTACGGGTTGCGCCCTCTGCCGCTGCGCAAACAGGTGGAGCCATCACGGGACTATTTTGGGACTGGCTCTCTTGGGGCCTCACTGCGCCATTTGGGAGCTCCTTGGGGCCACCGTAGGGCCATCTTTGGCAATATCGGATCTACAGTGGCGCTCAAGTGGGCCGCCTCGAAGCCATCTTGGGACATCTCGGGGGGCCTGCGAGGGAGTTCGGGGGGATCTTCCGTCCCTCTTTGGACCCGCTCGGGCTCCAGCCATTTCTGACAGCTTTTCATTGCGCCCGCTACCCAGGCGGGCGGGCGCCCGGACGGAGCGCGCCATGGCCGCCTCCGCCCCCGCTCCGCGGCGCGGCAGGGCGGCGGCTCTGCGGCGCTGCGCCCTCGCAGCCCTGGCCGCGGCCCTGCTGGCGGGGCCCCCCCCGCCGGGCGTCAGGGCGTGCGGCTGGGCGGCGGGGCCGCGGGGCACCCGCGGCCCGCCGCGCCCGGCGGTGGCCAGGGGGCCGCGCGGCTCGCGCGGCTGGGGCCCCGAGCGGCCGCAGCGCAGCGGGGCCCGCGCGCCCCCCGAGGGCGGCCTGTCGCGGGGCGCCCTCGCCGCCGAGGAGTGGCTGGCCGGCGGGTTCTACCGCGCCAACGTGTTCGTGACGCTCCTGCTCGCCACGGAGATCGTGTCCGCGGTCCGCTCGCCGCAGATCCTGGAGCAGACGCGCCTCGGCATGGTGCCGGTGCTGCTCACGACGTCGGCCGTCCTGAGGGTCCTGAGGAACGCCACGTTGAGAAACCGCCTCGGCGGCACCACTTTCCGGGTGCTTGCCCTGGCGAACGTAGCGGCTTTCTCTGCCATCTTCTACCACATCTCGTTCCAGCTCTGGAGGCTGCTCTTCGGTTTGCCAGGGCCACTTCGCAGCCTGCCGCTCTACCCTGTGTTCATTGCCCTGCTGGCTCAGTGCGCGGCGTTCTACTCCGTCAGGGCTTCCTACCGCGTACTTGAGGAGGAGGGCTTGCCCAGTCTCGGCCGGCCGCGTCTCAAGAACATCCTCGCATTCGGGTACGCGCTCACCATGGTTCACCAGGTCGTGTGGGGCGGCGGGCTGTTGCTGTACTCCAGCGTGAAGACGACCGGAGCTCTCAGGTGCTTTGTCCTGGCGGCATGCGCGTACGTCTGCCAGGCGGCCGCTGTGGCAGGCCCCAGAAGGCTGTCCTCGGACACCTACAAGACCCTGAACGTGGTACTCTGCATCGACAGTGCCCTGCGCCTCGCCGCAGCTCTGCGGGCGGAGAGCGTCTCGCTGGGCATCGCGGCGACGGTGGCCCTTCCGGCCGTGGCCCTGGCCTCCTCGGCCGGCGGGTGGCTTCTCGGGAAGCTCGCGAAGAAGTGAAGGCGCGCGCTCGGCCAGATTTTTTCGGCGCCCGGGGCCCGCCAGCAGCGCGTCGTCGCCCGCGGCGTGGTCGCCGCCTGGGCCCGCCCGCACCCGCTCGCCCTCTGCACCGGGGCACGGCAGGCCCGCGCCTTCGGGGGGCCACCTCGGACCCCGGAGGCTCGCAACCCATAAAATCAAGGGAGGAGAAACCACCCGGACCAGACGATTGGCGTTTCCTAAGCGGCCCTGGGCGTTTACAAACAGCCCCGCCCTGCTCGATTCCTTTGTTGGGCGCGCTTGCTAAAGACCTCGCGTGTCGGGGTGGTTATTGTCGGGCTGGATTTTCTGCCCTCTATAAAAGCGCGACGGGAAATCCGTAGAAGGAGTGGGGACATGTGTAGGCCTCCCAGATGGGGTCGGAGGATCGCGCCGCATCGCCGACGCATCGGCGATGCGGCTCGATGTGGGGCCCGATTTTCTCCACGCCGACATCGCCGATGCACTGCCGACGTCGTCGATGCATCCTGCATCGTCAATGCATCGGCGATTCGGCGCGGTCCTCCAACCCCGTCTACTCGGACGCTGTTTGGGAGGCCTCCAGCCTTGGACCGCAACCAAGAAGAGCACGCCGGGAAATCCGTAGAAGGGATGGGAGGGGAACAAACACTATCCCAAACTCGAAAACCCAGAGGTCCGCGCGGATTCCTCGGATCGGCGCCGGAGGCGCCGCCAGGGGGGCCCCAGCGCGTTCCGCGCGAGGGAGGGGTGTCTAGCGCCGATCCGAGGAATCCGCGCGGACCTCCGAGTTTTCATGTTTATGTCATTGCTTGTTCCCCCAATGAGTGGTCCCCGGGGGGCCTCCGCTCTCGGATCGCTCAACGCTGAGGCGGCCTCGCGCGTTGCCAGAATCCAGGACCCTCGTCGTCTCGACCACAGCCCCTCCGTGTGCCCTCGACGTCCCCGATGCACAATTTTTCTTCATGTGGCCTGGACTGCGTGGCAGCCCTCGCCCAAGCGCGCAGGCACGCGCCAGTAGCGCATCGTGGGCGAGCTGCCCCGCGAGGCGTCGGCGTCTGGCCAAGGCGCCGCCGATTTGCTTAAGCCAATGCAATTCAGTACTGCCAACCTGCAGCTTGCCCCCTGTGCACTCGGCATCTGCGTCAGTTTTGAGCCACTGTACGGACGCCGTGCACATGTGCGTCTCTTGCGGGAACCGTCCCATCTATTCTTTGACCTCCTCCTCCTCCTCTTCACCGAGCCGCCATTTCCAACCCCAAAGAATTTCGGCATCGGCGGCGATCTCCCATTTCGAGTCTCACCCAGCGGTCGGCACCTCTCACTCGCCATGTTCGGCTGCTGAGGCATGTGGCGAGGGGTCTGTGGCCTCATCTAATGAACTGTAGGGGGCATGCGGGTCGTTTCATTTGTTTGGTTGCTCCTTTGCGCCCTTGCCTCTAAGGGCGCAGCTTTGCTCCCTTGCGCACTTGCTGCTAAGGGCGCAGCCCTGCTCCATTGCTCCCTTTCCGCTAATGGCCAGCCCTGCTCCCTTGCTCCCTTGCCACCCCGCCCGCCTCGGGAGGCTAAAGGTGCATGGGCGTGAGGGAGCAATGGTGCAAGGGCGCAAGGGGGTAAGGGTGTAAGGGTGCAAGGGTTTCCTCCCCACTCCTGGTTCCTCCTCCTCTTCCTCCTCTTCCTCCTTCTCCTCGTCACCCTCCTCCTCAAATCGTTGCGGCTGAACGCGCATGGGCGCCAGGGCGCAATGGCGCAAGGGTGCAAGGGTGCACGGGTGCAAGGGTGCAAGGGTGCAAGGGCGCAAGCACGCAACGATGCAAGGGTGCAAGGACGCAGGGGCGCAAGAGCGCAAGGGCGCAATGGTGCGAAGGTGCGAGGGCTCAAAGGTGCAAGGGTGCAAGAGTAAAAGTGTATCAAAGTGTACGGTTTTGGGTCCACGCTGGCCAGCATTTCGTTCCCTTTATCCTGTCGGGACTTGATGCCCCTCCGAGAGGATTGACACAACAAAGAGAGGGCGAAGGGGGGGTGGAGGCGGGGGGCGGATCAAGAACATCTTTTGAAATAGCGGCCCGCCCCCGAAAGCTCCAGTATAGGGTCCGAGACTGTTCGGTAGTGACTGCGGAGGACGCAGTGGCAGGATGAAGGGGATGGCAGAGAAGGAGGAGGAGGAGGAGCAGGAGGAGGAGGAGGAGGAGGGATGAGGAGTGAGGAAGCGAGGGAGGAGGAGTGAGGAAGAGTAGCGGGGAGGTGGAGTGAGGAGGACGATGTGTCATGAGGGGGAGATGTGCAGAGGACCGACCAGGAGTCCCGTCATCACCGCCACCACCAGCACCCCTAACCACTTTGGCTCAACCTGTGGCGGATCGCAGCCGGAGCTCCCCGGCGCTCCATCCGCTGGCTGTGTGGGACCCCTGCTTCCCCCCAGAGGGGGGCCAGGTCGAGCAGGGGGCTTCGTGAGATCCGTACTTCGCTGGATGGCCAGCGGGGGCCGCCCCTCGGCCGTCCCCGCGGCGGTTTCGCCGCCCATCTGTCCATGCGCCATGGGCCGTCGGGTTGCCGCGCAAGCGCCGATCAGACGCGGGCGCAGAGAGCCACGCCCACCCCGCCGCAGCCTGGGCGCTCGTCCACAGCGCTGGCACCCCGCGCCGTTCTCGTTCGGGCTCCGCGGGGCCGAGGTTCCTTTGCCTTGGCATCGCTCGGACGTGTGCATTTTTCCTTCGGCGAGCGCCAGCATCCTTGATGATTTGGCGAAAAAACCACGCACGAAACCGAAAAAACAGGGAATGGACGTCCGAGCGATGCCCAGTTGCTGATCCTGCGAGCGCGCCGCAGGCCAGCGGCCCGCCGCGCAGTGCCCGTCATGCCGCGGGGCGCCCGGGAGACACCGCCGCGCGGGCGGCTGCAGAGAGAACCGCCGAAATCATGCAGGATACCCTTTTGAACTGGGAAGGTCTCAGCTCAGGAGCGAAAGAAAAACGTACACGTACATGAATCCACGCTGGTTTCGAGGGTTCGCATTGCGCGAATGTTCGTATTACGCGGCCGGTCTCGCGGGCCAAAGGGCCGTGTTCATGTACATAGCTGGGCGCGTACATCCTTTGTGGGCTCCCTATCAGCGGGCCCCTGACAGACGCGATCACGTTTTTCAGTCCACGGCCCAGCACACTCGAGTTCGGGACGAGTTTCACAGTATAGTTTTTCGCTCTTTCCAGGTCGGCCAACTGCCGGCGAATTCCAGCATCGCGACGGGGGTATTGTTAGATAAGTCGAACGGCGAATCAGGGATGCTCTGTAAACGCATCGTCCATCTTACAAACGATTTCTGGACATGCTGCTGTGGAGTACAATAGGCCTACAGGAATAAGGATAAACAGTTGTTTGCTGGACACTGGCAGGGTTGTTTGAAGTACGAGAGGAGTGAAGGAGCGAGTCTGGTACAGCTACGATTAGGCTGGTACCCCAAGAAGGCAAGGCTTCCGAACGCGTGCGAGCTGCATGACACGAGTCGTACTGTCGTGTGTCTTCTCGCCAACGATCTACTCTACAGATATTGGTACGCGAGGATTTGAAGGACTACGTCTACCAGCGTCGCATCAGCAGCATAGCTAATATTCCAGTAGATAGCAAGTTCGAGGCTTTTATCTGCAAGAGCGGGTGACTCCAATTCCCCTGCGAGGCACTGCGGCAATTTGCAATCATGTACAACAGATGCTACGTAGAGATCCAGGAGGCCAGCGGGACCCCCATCTTACATCCACAGCGCCTTCGGGGCCTTCGTTGGACTGTTCCATGGCAGGCTTCGCTCGCAATTTATTTCGACGCCGACTTTTGCGAGGTTCTTCGGCACTATGGGCCCCGGACACATTTCGATTCGAAGACGAGAAACTGCATAATGCTTTGGGCAAGTGGCGCTTCAGACAAAACATGAAAACCTAACCTTATTTGGGATCCAACTTTTCGAGCCGACGTCTCCAGGGGAGCTGCCCCAGCAGATCCGGCACAGTGCGACGTGCGCCCGACATCTAGGTGCGAGACACCAAATGCGCGGCGCGCGGCTCGACGCCACCGAGCTAGAGCTTCGCCTTCGCGCTATTCGTGCAGGCTGGCCAGTCATAGGATTAGTTTGGCAGGAGCGACGTTTATATCGCCGGAAGCGTGACTGGTTACTGGGCAATGTCGCGGAGAGTGGCAACGCAGGATTAAATTTTAGGAGCATGGAGAACTCGATGCTTGCATCGTCGAGTATTTGGGAGCTCTTGCGAATTGTCTGCCACCTCCCACGATCGAGTGCTCGCCTGCCACCTCCCACGCCGGTGCTCACGCTCGATCGTTTCGGTATTCAGAGGAGCTGCGCTGATGTCGAATTCCCGCTACTCGTGGGAAGTTGACGGTGCGCAGGATCAGATGGATGCAGAATGCGCTGCTACATCGCCATTGACACTGCGAGGATGTTGCGGCGATGTTTGGCTACCTCCTGGACGAGACCCCCACTGCGCAGGAGTGTGGGCAGCTCGGTGGCATAGCCAATCCGCGGGCAAAAAGATTCGACCATAATATCCAGATGCATCGCGGGATCTGCTGGACCGAGAGCATCTTCAAAGTCTGGGGAAATATTGGTTTACCCTTGAAACAACCGTTCGATTTAACCTCTGGGGCCCCCATGAGTTCCTAGTGGTTGGCCCCCATCGATCCCAATTGCCGCAGCGCTTACTGATTATGATAAATGGTGTTCTTTATTTCCTGAACTACACTGCCCCAGAGCGGCAAGCGAAAGCATCTTCGCGCGCATGATAGAGGGCCCCCTGGACACCCCGCGCGGTCCCCAGTTCGACTCGCTCAGGGGTCGAAGGGGGCACCGAACACATGGGCATCGAGTAAACGCATCCTGCGCAGCGGCGCTACTATTAACGGGCGCCCAAACTACTTGAGTCGATTCTGAGGACTTCGCGACGCACTCCAGCATTCAAAGAATTCCCGCGGGCGCGACAGGACATTCCGACCCCCCCCCCCCCCTCGGCCCCACCACGCGGGCGTTGCTGGAGGCGAAACCCGAGAAGGGCGGCGGCGACGGCAACGATAGGGGCGGCAAGGAATTCAGGAACGACAGGGACGGCGCTGGCACCGCGGCGGAGGCATCGGCCGCTCTCGAAAAAATGCTGCACGACCACGTTTGCAAGCTGCCGTGTCTCATAATGACGCAGCTGCTCAAGGTGCGCCAGCAAAGCTGATATTTCTCAGGCGTCGTACTCGATGCGTTTCTGCCCCTGCCACGTGCGCAGTCATCATCATGATGAGCGAACAGACCGTCGCATATGCCACGGCAGTCTAGCAGCAGGGAAAAGAGTCACAAGCTCGGCTCACCGTTCATGTGGGCCTCGGGGGGCCCCCCGGGCGCGCTCGTCAGCCGCGGAGATGCAGTCGGAGCCCAGAACTGGCATGCGCTTTTCCCTTTGCAAAGCCAGAGGCGCACCGCTCCAATTGCTATCCGCAGTTGCGCGGTCATCAGGGTATACGGCTGCGCTGTTGTAGCCAGTTGCAGAGTGAACAGTCACAGTGGCATGAAGAATGTTGGCGCTGAAGGTGTGCGCATTCGTACCCGTGTCCTTTTTACCGTCCTCCTCCGTTTCCTTTCATCATCGCCCTCGTCCTCCGCGTGTTCACCCCCCCGGTCTGACATGACCTCTGACCGGAAGGGTCCAACGCCGCCACGCAAAGGAGGATCCCACCTTCGTGGCGAAACCTCCCAAGATGGAGCTTCGAATCGCCAAGATGGGTGAACATCTCTGCAGGCGTGCTTCCTTTGCTACTGACACTCAATAAGCTCACGTTGGAGATTTGGGGCCGCCCCAAATGTTCCAAAGTTTTCGACCTCGCACTTCGCATGGCCTTCGCGCCGCGGGCTGTCTCGCGCGGGCCCCCGCGGCCCGAGACGGGCTGCTGAGGGAAAGTGCGCCAGCGGATCTCCCTGAATCCACTAAAAGGGGGGGGGGGGGGGCTAGACCCCCCCCCCCTCCACCCGTCGGCCTGCTGGAAAGGGGGGGGGGGGTGGGGGGTGGGGGGGGGGTCCGGAAACCCCCCCCCCTCGTGTAGGGAGTGCGGAGTTGGGGGTAGGGGGTGGTGAATAGTGAGTAGTGAGTTAGTGCGTAGTGAGTAGTGAGTATTGGGTAGTGAGTAGTGGGTAGTGAGTGGCGTTTAGGGAGTAGGGAGTAGGTAGTGAGTAGTGGGTGGTGAATAGTGGGTAGTGTGAACTGATAAGTGAGTAGTGACTGGCGAGTAGTGAGTAGTGAGTAGTGAGTAGCGAGTAGCGAGTAGTGAGTACTGAGTAGAGAGTAGGGAGTAATGAGTAGTGGGTAGCGAGTAGTGGGTAGTGAGTAGTGGGTGGCGAGTAGTAATTAGTGAGTAGTGAGTAGTGGGTAGTGCGTAGTGCGTAGTGAGTAGTGAGTAGTGAGTAGTGTGTAGTGAGTAGTGAGTAGTGCGTAGTGAGTAGTGCGTAGTGCGTAGCTAGTAGTGAGTAGTGAGTAGTGAGTAGTGAGTAGTGAGTACTGAGTAGCACGTAGTGCGTAGTGAGTAGTGAGTAGGGAGTAGTGATGAATACAGAGTAGTGGGAACTGGCAGTGTGTAGTGAGTAGTGAGTAGCGAGTAGGGAGTAGCGAGTAGTGAGTAGGGAGAAGCGAGTAGGGCGTAGTGAGTAGTGAGTAGTGAGTAGAGAGTAGTCAGTATTGGGTAGTGGGTAGTGATCAGTGAGTAACGAGCAGGGAGTAGCGACTAGTGAGTAGTGAGTAGTGAGTAGGGAGTAGGGAGTAGGGAGTAGTGAGCAGTGAGTAGTAAGAAGTGGGTAGCGAATAATGGGTTGTGAGTAGCGATTGGTGAGTAGTGGGTAGTGGTAAGTGAGTAGTGACTAGTGACGAGGGAGTTGTGACTAGTGACTAGAGACTACGTCGTGACTAATGAGTAGGGAGTAGTAAGTAGTGAGTAGTGAATAGTGAGTAGCGGGGAGTGAGTAGTGAGTATTGAGTAGCGAGTATGGGAGTAGCGAGTAGTGAGTACTGAGTACTGTGTAGTCAGTATTGTGTAGGGAGTAGCGAGTAGTGGGTGGTGAGTAGTGATTTGTGGGCAATGCGTAGTTAGTAGTGAGTAGTGGATAGTGGGTAATGAGTAGTGAGTAGGGAGTAGGGAGTAGGGAGTAGTGAGTAGTGGTTAGTGAGTAGTGAGTATTGAATAGTGGGTAGTGAGAAGTGAGTAGTGAGTAGGGAGGAGGGAGTAGTGAGTAGGGAGTAGTGAGTAGCGGTTAGTGGGTGGTGGGTAGTGAGTAGTGAGTCGTGAGTAGTGAGTCGTGAGTAGTGAGTAGGGGGTAGTGAGAAGTGAGTAGCGAAGAGCGAGTAGTCAGTAGTGAGTAATGAGTTGTGAGTACTCTTTGGGGCTGGGGTTAGTGGTTGGGGGATTATGGTTTTGGGTTAAGGGTAAGGCCTTAGGGTGGGGGTGGCGGGGAGTTCCGGAACGGGGGCGGCGTGCGGGGGGGGTGGGTTCCGGGACCCCCCTTCTTTTTGAAGGGGGGGAGGGGGGGGGGGTTCCCCGGGGGGGGGGGGGTCCCCGACGACGGATCGGGGAAAGGGGGGGGGGGGGGGGGTCCCCGACGACGGATCGGGGAAGGGGGGGAGGGGGGGGTCCCCGACGACGGATCGGGGAAGGGGAGGTGGGGGGGGGTCCTACCCCCCCCCCCCTTGGGGAGATCCAGCGGCGCACCCTCCTTCTGAGGGCGCCCCCCTGACAAAACAAGAATGACGCACCCGAACCGTATGCGGGGTGTGGCTTTACCACCGAGTCCATCCATGACGGACGGGAGTAGTTTGAAAGGGAATGCTGCCCATGCGAGCGCTGCTTGGGAAACTGATTCGTTGCATGCCCTGTGGGGCCTGCACGAGGCGACGTCGAAGGAAAGGAAACGAGCAGGGGAGACGGAAGGACGACGACGAATAGGAGGAGCAGGAGGAGGAGGAGGAGGAGGAGGAGGAGGAGGAGGAGGACGAGGACGATGAATGAGAGGAGGACAGGAGGAGGAGACAGGGCGTTCATCGATTGGCGTGCGAGGAAACAGAGCTTTCATAGAGGAGGGGGCAAGATGGGCAAGTTTGACAAGGACGAGACAGAGGAGACAGAGGACGGCGTGGAGGAGATAGAGGGCGGCATGGAAGGCGTAGAGGAATGGCACGCGATCGGTCACGACGAGAGGACTTGTTGTGACATCGCCCATGTCGGAGCGGCCCTAGCGTGGGGTTTCTTGCGACCCTAAGCCGCTCAGTGCGAGCGCAACAAAATCGAATCCGCGCGCGTGCCCCCGCTGGGGCTCCAGATGCATAGAGGAGCACGTGAGGGCGCTGGCAAACTCGCTGGCGGCCTCTCTCGTTGAGCCGCGCAAGAAGCTGGCCAGGCCAAGCTGGTGCGCCAGTGTTTCGGCCCCCGCCCTGCATCTCTCGGCACGGGTGCTGGAAGCTCACGGGCGGGAGGTCGGCGAGGTCCACGGGGCGGCCCCCGTCCGCAGAGCAAGCCCATGCAGCGGACCATGCTGAGATCATCCGACGTGGTCGCCCGCATCCGGCACCGCGCACGAAGGATTGCAAAAAAACCAAGGATTGCAACAAAAACCCGAAGGATTGCAAAAAAACCAAGGATTGCAAAAAAACAATGTTTTTTTTGCAATCCTTCGTGCAAAAAAACCCGAAGGATTGCAATCCTTCGTTCAGCAACAACCCGCCCATGTCGTCGATGCCCGCCCAGAGAGCCGACGTTTGTCTCGGTTTGCGAGGCACCGCGTTCTGCGCGACCTCCCGGGTGCCCACGACATGACGTCGAGCGCTTCGTTGACAGTGCCCAGGGAGCCGAGATTTGATCTGGGTTTGCGTGGCACCACATTCCGCTGGACCTCTCAGGTGCGCCGGGGGCTCTATCTGGGTACTTCTTCTGAGCTGTATGGTCATACATTCTTCCAACTAGAAGGATAGAGTGTGGACCATATCCAAAACGGGGTTTGCAAGGCCCTCATCTTTCAAGGGGGCATTGTCCGAAGTGAACACGCCATGTTTGTAGGTATCTACGGGGGGGGGACTTAAGACGGGAGGTTGCAATGCGGCATCATCGAGGCATCCTGCATGTTCTGTTGTATTCCTCCTTGTCCTTCTCCACATCATCATGACAGTCATCACCACCATCACCACCATTACCATGACCATCACCATCACCACCATCATCATCATCATCATCATCATCATCATCATCATCGTCATCATCATCATCATCATCATCATCATCATCAACATCATCCTTCTCCTCTTCCTCTTCCTATTCCTCCCTCGCCCACTCCTTGTTTTTTCCACGCAGAGAACTTCACAGGCCTCCCGACGCGGCCGGGGTCCTGAGCAAGAGCCGCAGAATCCAGAGAAACCGGCCCTCGATCCTCGATCCTGCTCGCCTCTGCTCCCTGGTCCCTCCCTTTCCCCCGAGGCACCTCCTCCTGAAGCTGCTGCGCACCGACCAGCGCCTCGCCGCGCAGGACCTGGGACCTGCCGGTTCCTCCGAAGGCGCCTCGGAGGCGTGGGCTGCCGCCGAGAGGCGCGGCTGCTCGTCAACGACGACGACGACGGCGTCGACCCGACGACGAGGGTCCAGATTTGAGAAAGAGCGCGTTCTGTGGTCGCTTTGAGGGGGGGGGGGTTGGAACTGGACCCCCTCCCTTGCCTCCCCTGCTTCCCCTCTCTTCGGGCCGGCGCTTGCGACGGCGGCGGCTGGCGGCGGCGGCGGGGACGACGATTTCTTTTTCTGGGCCCGCGCAGGCGCCTGCGGCGGCGGGCGGCGGCGGCGGGGAGCGTCGACGAGGACGACGGTGGTGGTGGTGGTGGTGGTGGTGGTGGTGGGTTGTGGTGGGTTCTGGTGGTGGTGGTGGTGGTTGTGGTGGTGGTGGTGTGGTGGTTTGTTATGGTGGTGGTGGTTGTGGTGGTGGGTGGAGGTGGTTGTGGTGGTTTGGTGTGGGCGTGGTGGTCGTTTGTGGGGGTAGTGGTGGTGGTGGTGGTGGTTGTGGTGGTGGTGGTGGTTGTGGTGGTGGGTTGTGGTGGTGGTGGTGGCTTGGTGGTGGTGGTTTGTGGTGGTGGTGATGGTGGGTCGTGGTGGTGGCGGTGGTTTGTGCAGGTGGTGCTGGTGGTGTGGTGGCGGTGGGCGGTGGTGGTGGTGGTGTGGTGGTTTGTGGTGGTGGTGGGTTGTGTTGCTGGTATTGGTGGTGGTTGTGGCGGTGGTGGTGGTGGTGGTGGTGTGGTAGACTGGTGGTGGTGGTAATGGTGGTATGTTTTCGTGGTGGTGGTGGTGATGGTGAGTTGTTGTTGTGGTGGTTGTGGTGGTGTGGTGGTGGAGTGGTGGTGGTTTGTGGTGGTGGTGGTGGGTTGTTGTGGTGGCGGTGGTTAATGGAGGCGGTGCTGGAGGTGGTGGTGGCGGCGGTGGTGGTGGTGGTGTGGTGGTGGTGGTGGTGGCGGTGGGTTGTGCTGCTGGTAGTGGTGGTGGTTGTGGCGGTGCTGGTGGTGGTGTGGCAGATTGTGGTGGTGGTGGTGGGTTTCTGTGGTGGTGGTGGTGATGGTGAGTTGTGGTGGTGGTTGTGGTGGTGGTGGCTGTGATGGTGGTGGTGGTGGTGTTGTGGTGGTGGGTTGGTGGTGGTGGTGGGTTGAGGCGGTGGTGGTGGTGGTAGTGGTGGTGGTGGTAGTGGTGGTAATCGTCGCTGCGTCCCCGCCGTCGCCCGCGCGGTGGCGGTGGTTTATGAGGTGGTGCTGGTGGTGGTGGTGGTGGTGGCGTGGTGCTGGTGGTGGTGGTTGTGTGGTGGTTTGTGGTGGTGGCGGTGGATTGTGCTGGTGGTGGTGGTGGTTGTGGTTGTGGGGTGGTGGTGGGTTGTGCAGATTGTTGGGGTGGTGGTTGTCGTGGTGGGTTTTTGTGGTGGTGGTGGTGATGGTGAGTTTTGGTGGCGGTGGTGGTTGTGGTGGTGGCGGTGGTGGCTGTGGTGGTGGTGGTTTTGTGGTGGGTTGGTTGTGGTGGTGGTGGTGGGTTGAGGCGGTGGTGGTGGTGGTGGTGGTAGTAGTGGTGGTGGTAGTGGTGGTAATCGTCGCTGCGTCCCCGCCGTCGCCGGCGCCAGCGCCGGCCGGCGCCAGCGCCGGCCGCCGCCAGCGCGGGCGCCGGCGCGAGGGGAGGGGGTTGAACTACCCCCTCTCCCCCTCCCTTGGGCTGCGGGGGGGTTGGACCCCGCCTCCCCCCTCCCTTGGGCTGCCTCTGGTCATCGTCGCTGCGTCCCCGCCGTCGGCGCTGCCAGCGGCCGCCAGCGCCGGCGCCGGCGCCGAGGGGGGGGGGGCTTGAACCCTCCCCTTGGGAGGAGGGGGGGGGAGGTTCGGGAGGGGGGGTTTGGGGGGGAGGAGTGTCCCCCTGGTTTTGGTCGACGGCGCCGAGTGTCGGGGGGGGGCCTACGCCCCCGTTCGAAACGCGCCGCCGAATGTTCCCAAGGCAAGCGCCCGTGAAACGCGTTCTCTCTGATTTGACTTCAGGAGGCCTCTTGGGGGCCTTTGGCGGCCGTTGGCGGCTCTCCGCGGCTCTCGGCTGCGGAGGTCAACGGTGGCATCACATGTCGTGCTGCGTGGCACCACGCTGTTGGCCAGGGCGCGCCCGCGCGGGCGATTGTCCTCGCAGCCGCGCCAGCAACTTCGGAACCTGCCCAACGCCGTCGCATCCGCAGGGCACCTCGCCTTCATCTGCCTGACCACCGCAGAGCTTCATCATCAATCGACGGGTCCTGCGGAAAGCCAGTCCTAACGTTTTCCACCGACTTAGGGCTCCAAGGGCCCTCCACGGGCCCCGGGACTGTTTGAAAACGAATCAGGGCGAAAAAATTGTTTTGGGGGAAGTCTCCCGATCCAGGATTCGTTTCCCTGAGGACCCGTTTGCTTTACCTATGCCAAGAGCTCGCCGTCGCACTCGCGTGGCGCATGTCACAGAGATCCTGGTCGGCAGCCTCCGTGGCCGCCGCGGGGCTGCATCGTCGCCGTCGCTGTCGGTCCCGCTGTCGGCGATGCCGCCGCAAGCGCCTTGCCTCCGAGCGCGCGGATCACTGGCAGGAGCCAGCGGCAGGCACCCCCATCCAGCGTCATCCGCGCCTCCGTGCCTTGGAGCCCCAAGCGGCGCCAGGCCAGGAGGCCGCTCAGATGCCGTTGCGGCCCCGTCGCCCCCATAATGCCGCATGCGGGCGGCAGCACTTGGGCCTTCGGTGGGGCTCCCTATGGGGCCACGAAGCGTGTGAGGGGTGTGCCGAATTGGGTGTGCGGGACGCATGCGGGCGGCAGCACTGGGGCCTTCGCGGGCGCGCTTGATCGCCACGCAGCGCCTGCCCAGGTGGCCGCGGAGTTGCCCTTGTGCCACCGTCGCCGCCCGGCGCTGCAAAACCTGACGCTCGACTTCTTTCCTCAATGAGCCCCCCTTCACGAGACTCACGCTCGGCCGATTCCCGTCGGCCTGCAGGCTGCGCGGGGCGGCCCCAACTCATTCCCACGGCTTGCCAGCTACCCTCAGCAGGCGCAGAGTGTGCCATGCGAGCACTGCAGCCTTTCGCTCCCGTTATGCGCTGTGCATTGCAGGCCGCTTGGTGGCCCTCCTAGTGATTATCGTCTCCGACATTGTCATGAGTGGCGCGGCGCCAGTCCCTGCCAGCCGCTGGGCAGCCCATCGATCCGACGTCGCCGTAGGGCAGCACGCCGCCGGCTGCCTCCACGGCTGCCGCTCTGCTGCCTGTCTCGCCATCCCCCGCCACCGGCGCCGGCTCCGATGGGGTAGACGAGGGGGCGGCTCGTGGACTCCTCTCCGCCCCTCCGCACGAGCGTCAAGGTCGACAACCAGGATTTACTCTTCCCCCTGCGTCAAAACTTTGGATGTGCTACCTCGCGGTTTCGATGCATGCCTTCGTCTTCCATGCGCCCCAGATCACCGAGGCTGTGGCCTCGCCCACCTGATCCAAGCCAGGCCCGGACGGTCGTCCGCGGAGGTGGTCGCGCGTTCGTTCCCCTCCGCAGCGTCCAGCTCGTCCGCCGCCAGCGCCGCACGGGCCACGCCGGTGACGTGGCATCACTCGGACGTGTGCACTGTTCTCGGCGAGGACCATCGAGGAGCATCCTGGATCCTCGTGGCAAAAGATACCCACGAGACCCACTGAACGCACGGGGGAATGGACTCGGGTATAGCCAGGACCCCAGGCAAGGGGACCCTGTAAGTGGTAGGGCCCTGGGGCCCTTGACTTGGCCAGAATATCACTAAGCCAGGTCTGCCGTAGCCGGTGTTTTTCGGGCGACCGCAGCCCCGGTTCGTGGAACGGGGCGGGGGCGGCCTCCCCCAGCACACATCCCTAAGCCAAGCTCCACGAAACCCAGTTCTGCCAACGCCCGATGGACGTCCGAGCGATGGCACGGTGAGCTGCTGCGCCCGGGGCGGCGGGACGGCCGCGCCCATGGCGGGCGGCGGCGCCGACGCCCCGCGCGGCGAGCAGGGCCCCAGGCTCGGCCAGCAGTTGGCGCGCGGGCACGCCTGCCGTCCCAGGGGGCCGCGCCCACAGGGGCCAGGCGCCAGAGCTTGAGCCTCGGACCGCTGTGGTGGTGGTGCTTACCACGTGGAGGGGGGCGGGAGAGGGAGGGGGAGGAACAGGACGACGGCGACGGCGGGGAGGAGGAGCAGGAGGAGGAGGAGGAGGACGACGACGGCGACGACGACGAGGAGGAGCAGAGGAGAGGAGAGGACAGGACGAGGACAGGCAAGGAGGATGAGGAGGCGGGGGAGGAAGAGGACGAAGATGATGACGAGGAAGGGGACGTGCACCAGCGTGAGTAGGAGCACAATGAGAGGCAAGTGGTAAGGACGAGGGAAGGGAAAAGAACAGCAGCAGCGACAGGAGAAAAGGAGAAGGTCGTGGAGCACAGCAGCGACAGCAAGTGGAAGAGCAGGATGGTGGAGCGGCAGCGGCAGTAGCAGCAGGGCGAAGGGGATGCACTTGCCTATCCCCTCTTGCTTTCCTCTGGAGCAGCAGGAGGAGGAGGAGGAAGCTCAGGCGGCTGCGCCTCTAACTAACGATGGTCCAGCTTGATCGGTCGCGTGCGCGGCGGGCCCGCGGCGCGGCATAGACGAGGACGTGGCCGCCTTCGGCTACGTGCGAGGAGGAGGAGGAGGAGGAAGAGGAGGAGGATGAGGAGGAGGAGGAGGAGGAGGAGGAGGAGGAGGGGGAAGAGGGCAAGCTAGGTGCGCTCGCGTCATATCTGACGTCCTACCCCTCCCTCCCATCCCTTACCATGGCGCTGATTTTCTCTATCCGCGGACGCGTGTCGTAGCGGACCTGTGGCTCCGCGCGCGCGTGCGTAGTGGGTGGTGGTGCGCGTGCGTGCGTGCGTGCGTGTGCGTGGTTGTGGTGGTGCTGGTGCTGGTGGTGGTGGTGGTGGGTGCTGGTGTGGTGCTGGTGGTGGTGGTGGTGCTGGTGCTGGTGGTGGTGCTGGTGCTGGTGGTGGTGCTGGTGCTGGTGCTGGTGCTGGTGGAAACACCGATCCGAAAATGAG